TGGAGAAGAGTGGTTGGGAACTGTTTGCCAGGCACACCCACAGAAAGCCTCTGCCTACCACACATGGCAAGGTGAGAGACAAATAACATAAGCTCCTTTTGCCTTTCAAAAGAACCTTGTGATTGCTTTTTTAGCTCGATTATTCCACAGTCTTTATACTTGTAAGGATTGCTTTTCTAATGAGGCAAGAAAGGTCAAAAGAAATTAATAGGCAAGATAACAGTTATCAGTCTGACATAAATAAAGCAGCTTATAACACTTGCAATACGCCACAATCTGCAACAGATAAAGGAGTCTAAAGCCAAAGGAGGGTTCAAAAGGAAGCCGATACTGGGAATATCTACACTCTAAGTTCTCTTTTAAGCAGATGACTGGGCCACAGTTGCTGTTTGCAGTTGTTGCTGCTGAAGCCAGTGTTGCCACTGAAGTTTAGAGTAAGGACATCATTCACCTGGCACAGCTCAGCCTCTCCGATTCGGTGGCTCAGATGTGATCCCACAAGCCTATGTGCGTGTCCTGATATGACAGCGATCACATTTTTACCCTGTAAGTGATACCACAATGCCAGAAAACACTGGGTAAGAAGTGCGCTACAAAGCTCTCCCTTGCCCACGCTATTGCTTTCCTGTTCCTCCCAGGACCCTGCTGCATCTTAACCCTGGAATCAGCAACGTTACTACTCGTTTGCCTCTCTAACTCTCCAGATACCTAGGTTCCTGTTTGTGAGTCCCCAAAATGTCAAAGTGGCTCCTATCTTATGTGTCTGTGACCCCAAAATAATTTTACTAACTCTGCCTAAATTCCCTTGGGAACCTCTTTCAGTAAGGTATAGATCACATGTGCAGTAAGATATATGCCACGCACACACACCCACCCCTCTCAGCCTCCTGAGAGGTGCCTCTGGAGCTTGGATTTAAAGAAGCAGAAGGCAAGAGCCAAACGTCTACAAGGGGTGAGTTTCAGGTATGACTCTGCAATCAGCTCTTCCTGTTGATTAGATGCTATCCCAGCTGATGGGTTTTCATATTAATCATTTTCAGGATCCTAATTTACCTCCGTGAATGTCATATGTGTCTTAGAAGCTAAACTTTGCATTCCAAGCAAGGAGCCAGACAACCAGAAACATAATTGCTACAGGACCCAATTTCCATTGTTGAAATTCCTCGTGGGAACTTGATATCACAAGCCATGCTTTAGCAAAAGGACTCCGAAGCGCCAGTGTAATTTCTATCGCTTTTCAAAAGCTTAGCTCTCTGCTAGTCCTATGAGTCCTAAAACCATGTAGCAAAATCGGTGATGTACATACACTAGCATAATTTTTGCTTTAATTGGTTTAGCTCGTTTCCATGAAGATATTAAATCTCTTTCCCAATCACCTCTCTTCACTGATTAAGAATATTTTTCCACAGTAAATCATTTATTCTCAGTTGCACATATTCCAGACTCCTCTTGGACATGCTAAATTGGCTGGACTGTTTTTTTTTAACTTGTATTTCAGTCTTGAGCTTTCAGACCATTAAATGTCTCCAGTGACCACATGATGCTTTTTTTTTTTTTTAAACAGATAATTTATTTGCAACAATAGTGTGAGATACAGTAGAATAGAAGTGGGAACAAGATAATCATATATTGTTTTATAGTGTATTTTTCAGTAGATTATTCCAAATGTTACATATGGAAATTTTAAGTCCTACAACATTAGTTCTGATATCACGGTGACTAAGCATTTCAACAATAAGCAGTCTTGTGGAAAAATCCATGTACATAGTTTGCTTTACTTCATTTGTCCTAAATTACAGACTGCAACAGTATGACTTATATCATATAAGTGAGTAACAAATAGTTCAGTCTATATCTGCATCTTGCCTATTTAGTGAGTCCTTGAGAAATTCAGATATACACAGGTTGATTTGAGATACAAAAAATTGTGCATAGTGTTTTCATTTCTCACCTTGGAAAGAAAGGTTCACAATGTAAATTCTCACATATTTTATTTAGATTAAAAATATTGGATGGTGTACAATATCCTGAATGTGTTACACAGACTGCAGATAAAATGTTGCAGAGCACAGCAGCAACAGCTCTGCCACCAAGCACTAGAAACGTGGAAGTCTGAAGGCCACTTAACTTTCTAAGCAGATACTGTGACAGTTAATAATAACCAGAAAGTAAACAATTTTTGAAAATCTCATATACAAATACATGTGACAATTCTAAACACTGCATGAGATGAGTCTTGCTCCTGCTTCCACTGAATGAATGAAAGATACAGCTCCCAATTACTTTAAGGGGAGAAGGATTATAACAACTCAAATGTTGCAGGATTTTTTTTTTTTCCTGAGAATAGTTAGAATTTCTGATAAACTCCTCAGAGTTTGTGCAACTTTAAGTTATTTGTGTGCCTCAGTGTAACAACCTTCAGCTTCCATTGTTTATTTTCTGAAATCCAGTGATTAAGTATTTTTATGTGTTTGTTAAAGTGCAAATATAGCAGTGGGAACAATCATGCCATCATGGAGGATTGAGAGATGCACCCGTGGTTTTTTTTAGGACCCCAGAATGACAACATGCCTGGCAGACTTCCAGTGATATCCATCCACCATAATAAATGAAAGACATGTACCATTTCCCACCCCAACCAATAAATAGTTTAAGAGGACACCAAGTTATGTTATGAGGTATAATTTAGAGCTGAAGGCCTTTAGAACATAAATCTCATGGAAACAGTATATGTTTTAAAAATCATTTTAAGGCAGAAGTATTTCAAATCCATAAAAAGGTCACGCTGGTCTATTATTTAGCCAAACGTGATGATTGTACAGTGATGATACCACTGCAAAGCAACTTAGAGAAGCACGTACCCCTGTAGGTCAAAGCTAAATCAAGTCCTAAGGGATGCTGAAGAGTGACATTTCCTTACATGAATGGTGATCTCCTGTGGTGGGGCAGAACTGTCTGTGATGATGGCCACTCCTAAGGTTTTACTTTAGGTTGGGTCATAAACCTCAAGTTGAACACATCTCCTTCCAGAATTAAGTATCTTGCTGAAAGACACTGATTTTGGAAAAAAACACAGTGAAGTGCATGAGAGAAGCCATTAGGCTCCAAAAAAGCTCAGGGTAATCAATGACAAACTCCTCCATGAGTCTCATTATGTGGGAGCAGGAACAGACCTACCGTATCTTGCTTTCTTACTAATGTCCAATGACATGGCAACATCCTTTACTGTCTAGTGGTCTCTTGCTGTAGCTTCCCTTCTTTCACCTAATCTTTTCAGGAGCCTCCGTATCTTGTCTCCAATACTCTCTTTGAGCAAGGAGTTCTCCTGGGACTGGTTCTGAGTGTTTGCCTCATTTCATTAACAGAGAGTGTTTCAAAGGAAAAAATGCTCGTAACTGAGGCGGCTGGTGCTATGTTTGTGTTATGCTCACCTTGGCAGCAGAATCAGGCTGGCTGAGGAAAATACACATCAAACCATTTATGTGAAGGACCCTTAAGCACAAAACAAATCACAGCTTCTTATTTAGATAAACACAGTACTGTGCAAAATTGACAAGAGCTTCTAAGGAGTGTCTTTAAATACAAAAATGCAAACTTTTGCTTAAAAAAAAAAAATCTACCAGTATTGTATGTATTACTCTTTACCTGTTTAAGCCATGCAAAAAGTTTAATCAAAGTGTCCCTTTAAAAAATACAGCATTTGAAGAAAAAAGAAAAAAAAAAAGGCCAGAACAAATGCCTAGGCAAAAAAACCAACCGCAAACCCCACAAGTTTTGATCTTTCTCATTTCATCTATTTAGCATAGTATTTTCCCATCTGAGCAGAGATATTCAGGGGTCTAAACAGCACACCTGTGTTGCCCTTCCCCAGGAGACCTAGTCCTTGCTGTGGGAAGGAGCTCTTACCTGCCATTTGACATTATCCCTTGTGGGTCCCTGACCATGCCCATGCTCTTGAACTGTGATGCTGTCACTGAGCTGGGGCACAGCTACGGACAAATATCAGCTGCTTTACCAGGCTCCATAGGCAGCCACTGCTGTGATGCTGCAACAGGTACGTGATGGGGAGTGCGTCTGGCGGGAGGGCTCATATGTTTGGAGCGGGGCTCTCACTGGGTCATCCAAGGAAGCCCTGTCCTGTGCCTGTGTGTGCTACATGCAGTGGGCTACACGCTGTGCCTGGGTGGAGTAAGGGAGAGATCATGACCCAACTGCAAATGCACGAAGGAGTCATGAATCTCATGCTCAATGCAGACAGCTTGTGCCACACTAACAGGGTTTAAGATAAGAAAAGTGTGAAACGAGGAAAATGAGTAAGGCAGGACATGCTGGGACTATACAGTGATGCAAGTTGGGATATCAGAATTGCCCTTGGATCACAGTGCACAGATTTTGAGTACCAGTGGTTTATGATCTCATTAGAAACATCTAATTCCCTGTAATAATGATTGCATGTAGAGTATGTCAAAGAACAGACAAGGCTATTACAGCCCACAGTCAGGACTAATGTTTTCTTTTTTCCCCCTCTTATTGCTAAATAGGCAGGAATAGCTTCTCAACTTCAAAATAAAAACTATATAATTACGGTAATAATACCATGCTCCTGACTGCTTTGCAGCTGCATATTGTAAAACTCAAAGCCACTGATCAGAAACAAAAGCAGTAAGTCAGTAACAGCTTTACAGAAACATTCTGTGGGGGTGATTATGTCTGTCAAAACACTTCTATAAGGGGAAGACTGATTACTGAACATATTTCATGTCCCTTTCCCCCTAAAAAAACCCTGCAAGTGCTTGCATCTTTTGCCAGAGGTGTAATTAAGACTACATGAACAATGGAACAAGCATGGATCCTGTTCAAATAGTTAGGTATCAGTTACAACAAAAAGCCAGAAGCAGTCATCTGTTATAAAAAATATTTCCCAGTGTTTTAATACAGTTAAAAGTTAAAAACCCTCTACATTACTAATAAATTAAAAAAACCCATATCTCCAACCATCTTGTAAGAAAGTAGGTAAGTAATTTAAACCTTTAGTTTACATAAATTAGCACAGAAACGTGTATTGGAACAAGTGCACTGAAAACAGACATGCCTTATTTTCTTCTGATATTTCTTATTTATTAAGTAGCAGGAAAGCCTTTATATTCTTTGCATGACCTCGAGAGTCTGCTAACACTAAATGGTCAATAGTCAAACCCCAGGAGAATGTTTCACCAGATAGACAATAACAAGAGGGAGCATAAAGTACAGTCAAATGCTTTGCAGCCTTATTACAGTAGAATTCAACATTCAATTTCGTCGTATTTACTCCTGGGAAGGGATGAAGGCAATATATTTATACTGCAAATCACATGAGTGAAATTTGATGGGTTGATAGATTTTTTTTTTTAAACCTATTAAAGTATCACTTTTTCAGAGGTAGCTTGCAAGGCAATGGTGATGTACGCAAGTTGAAACAATACCCCCTTGCTTGACTGTGGATAAAACTCTTAAATACTGTTGGTGTTGTCCCTGAACCTTGCAGAGAATGCTTAATGGATAAGATGTTCTAATCGGAGCTGACAACAGCCAATTAAGTGTCAGAAGAACAATCTGATAAGTAGGTCTTCATGTCTATAGGCATTTCCTGATGTGTCTTAACTGTCAATCTGAATTTTAAACATCTCTATCTTCATCTCATTATTGACTGATTTATTAAAGGAGAATGCTTTCATCTCTGACTTTGGGATGGTTCCAGAAAGAAGGAAAGGAAAATAGCAGGAACAATTCTTAATTTGGAACAATAGATGGGGAATCCTAATTATAGCAAAGTCCTAATATTCCAACTGAGCAGGTGTATGGTTTGGCGACACCACTACCACGCAGCTGCTCGCACCATACCTGTTAGGAAATGGTAGATGATCAGTTTAGAGGAGATCTGTTTCTTTAATAGGTGGAAGGATATCTGTGGACAGGCTAGCGGGCTGCTCTCTGCTTTCAGTGCTTCTTGCTAGTCATACGGAAGACAACACCTCGCTGGATGGATCTTTTCCCTTCTTGTCCTCACCCCTGTCAATATCAATCACGTGAACTATGCCAGGTTTCAGGATCAGGTCATCGGTCTCTACGTGGCTCCTGTTATCGTCCACCTCGATGTACTTCCCTTTGGATGGCTGGGTAGCCTTACTGAAGACATCTTTAAAACGCCGCTTGAGTTCAACATCTGGGCAATAGACATACTCATAAAGAGCACCAGCAAGGACTGCTCCTATTATTGGTCCCACCCAATATACCTGCAAAAAGAGGTGGAAAAAAAAAAAAAAAACAGGCATTAAGCTGTACAGCAAATAAAGATGCCTGCCATGGTCTCAGAGAAAAGCATGTCACTACAGACTTCACCCAGAAAACTTTCTGCAAAATACCCTGGCCCAATCATTCAAACCAACTTTGCTTTCCACAAACACATGGTCACATAGTTCCCTGGCTTTCATGAACTGGGATGAAATCTGCCATCGTATCAGTTCATGAGGCAGAGAAGTGTAACTACCATAGGTTTCAGAGACAGTGACCAGGAGCTCAGCAATTAAGTGACTACTCTAAAATCACATATAAAGTGGGTCAAAAGGCAGTCTTTTAGGCAGTTAATGCCATTAGTCCTTTGTCACTTTTTTTCCTTTCTGTCTGCTCCCAGTCTCTCTCTCACACATGTATTTCACCTCCTTCAGAAATTCTCATCACCCTGAATCCAGAAATCTAAACCACCTTGCACCTGTGGGTCCAGCTCTTCCCTTAAAAACTGCTCTCATGACAGCATTCAGGGAATCACCAGGCAGTTGACCCCACAGAGCAGAGCAGAAGAACCTGTGCTGACATGTCGGTGAGTACGGTTAATACTTTCCTGATGCCTGAAACAGATTTCAGTCTATATATCTGGTTACCAGTCTTCCCAAGCAGACCAGCTGAGTGGCAGCAAAGCTACGGACACCTCCCATGGACAGATACACAGGCACCCCCTCAGGCTGCCCTGCTTTCTGTTAATAGAAAGCAGCTTTTTTTCCCCCCCCTCTTTATGGGAGATTTAACTTATTTTTTAAACTATGCCTAATAACAAGAAAGTGCAGGTTCTTCTTCATCCTTAGTTAGATCAACCATAGATATAACATTCCTTGAGAAGAAAAAAAAAGCCACAGATCCTGGTGGAGTCACATATGACATCAAATATAGCTCTGTAGTCACATACAACATACAGTTGCTCTGGCATAGCTTTGCTTTTAAATTAGCAGGGGTAAAATGACTGAGAAGCAGGCCCACATCTTTGAAGAGAAACCATTTTGTCAAGTTCTATTGACCCATCTCTTTCCAAAAGGCCTCCTCTAAATTTTCATAACTCATTGTCAGCTGTAGACAACATATATGGACTATTTGCAAGATGACACACAAAATAAATACCAATGCAGAAAATTGATTTTTGTTTCTGCATTTTCACCCAAGATGACAAGGAACTTTTAAGGAAACAAAACCTTTCCTAATGCATACACAAACAGTTCTACTTCAGTATTTCAGACTCACATTTCCAAAATAACAAAAATTTGGCTTCTGATCCCACAGAATATAACAGGCAGTCAGCTACCTGATGATCTAATTTGAATAAGCAAATACAACTGACAGACAAAACTTTGTAGGGTACCTATCTACTTCAACATCACAGGCAGCAGTTATGTAACATCTTTTCAACCAAAACGATTCTGTGATTCTATCAGTAGGTGTAGAAGCCCACGGGCTTCCGTCAGTGGCATGCCAATGTCACTGCATTAAAGGAAGAGAAAAAGACCATCCTTCAAAGTGACCAAGACAGTAGCCAAGCTTTTCCTACAAGTTTCTCCATAGTACATTTGTTTATTGTTTACAGCTTTAGTTATAAATTACAGGCTCCCTCAGAGTATGGATAATTAATCTTGTGAAAAACTACAGCAGTTTTTCATATGAACAAGCCATTCACTGATAACTGGGTAAATCTGCCTCAACAGGGTAACTCTTGGGAACAAAGTTACACATGGTACCGTGTTTGCAGAATTGGAGCCTTAGGGCCTGAAGACAATGCTATTTCTGTTATTAGCTGCAGTGGGAGTAATGTGGGCTTCATACTTTAAAAATCAAGAAAATCCTTATATGCACTCTAATATGCAGCTCTTACAGTTAGCATTGAAATTGTCTGAGAAGTGCTTTCCCTGTCTTTTACTAGGTGAGGCTAAGCTGCAATCCATCTCTCCCTTATAAAATGTTAATTGATTTTTAACAAGTTTAATAGTGGAATGCTGCAGCAAATGACTGCATCATTCACAATCTGTTTATCAAATTGTTTCCTGCGCAAATACTCCTAGTTAAGCCGATGCTTACAAATTTAAGCAGGTAATATCTGGTCTGGTCTGTAAAGACTAGACTGCAACTCCTTCATCTCTCACTTGGGACATTTGCTGAGGCAGGTTCTCCCTTGAGAACCAGATTGCAGAGGGTCCCTGCTCTCATTTTATACATCTGCCCTAGTTTGCCACAGAATCAGGTGAAACATGAAGCCGACAGAATTACTTCCATAACTTCTCACTACTGTGACCAGGGGGGTTTCCAATCTGCCTCAGAGGACTTTCCCTTCCAGAATTTCAACTCTTTCAGTCTCAACGGATTACTCTTTTTGTTTTGAACTTTTTGTATGATTTCCCTCCTACCCCAGCTACTACCTCCACAAAACGTCCCCTGAATGGCAAGGCGCCATTCCAACGCGCTGCATACTGCACTGCAGTCCTAGGCGAGGAGGATAATTACAGCAAAGCTCATGGCAGGTCAGCGCCTGCCTTCCTCAGTGATGGTCTCTATGGGACGTACTGGGATAGATAACTAAAAGCAAATGATGCATGAAAAATCCTGATAGCTGTTTGTCGCTATGGTGAAGGAAGCATGAAAGCAGCGTTACCCATTGGTTTTCCCATCTCCCCATGATGACAGCAGGTCCAAACGATCGAGCAGGGTTCATACTGGCACCAGTGTAATTGATCTAAAACAGAGACAAAATGTTATCAAAGTCTTGAAGCCAGTTATTCAATTTCTGCTAGCCCTTGTACTGTGGGGACACCCTGCTTTTGCATGGCTTCTAATCTTCACAGCAAGTATTGTTGCTGTCCTAAGCTTTATCACAAAAACAAAGTCATCACATAAACAGACAGAACACCTCTCATGAAATACACTACCCAAGGGGAACCTCTCGCTACTCCAAAGGGTTCTGGCATGGATTCATATACAATATAGCACCTATATAGCTATAGCAGCTATAAAGACCACAGAAGCTTCCACTTACTTCTGAAGCAGCCATAAAGGGACAAAGGGTCTATATTTTAAAGAGAAGCCATTAACTTACACCAAATAAATGTCCAATTGCAACAGAAAATCCAATTGCTAAAGCTACTGAACCAGTGACATCACTTCGTTTTGAATCACAGCTGGCAAAAATAGTAAAAACCAGCTGGAATGTAATTATCAACTCCACCAGGAGTCCATGGCCAGCAGAAAGATCCCCATGTACCTGGAAGAAGGGAAAGAAACACCCAAGATGAAACAAAGGTGATTTTGTAAATCTGAAATATTAGTTGTATTTCAATGAAATGTATTCCTAAACGGTACACAGTGAAAGGTAACAATAACATTTAGAAGTACAGGTTCCCCCCCCACTTTTCTCTCTCTTTTAAAAAAAAAAAAAAAAAATATTATTTTTTTTGAGAGCCATAGAAAATTACTGCTGGACTCAGAACAGAAGGCTTAATAGTAACATCCAACAAGAACTTCAAAGTTAGACTGCAGAAGTACAGCTTATTTTTACACAAGGATTTGCAAATGCTGCACTTCACCATTTTTTTTTTCTTGGGAGCACTGTAATTTACTATTCAATTATAAATTCATTAATTAGCCCTGACTTAATTAATTTAAATTTCAATTAAAAATTAAGCAGTGTGCAGCTTAAGTGCATTTTTAATAAGTCCTGCAACAGGGCTAACTGATGGCATTCCTTATTAGTTCAGAACAAAGCTGGAATCTAAGCCACAATCTATTTCAAAAGTATGTCATTTTAAATTGATGTTTTTTCAATCCCCGTCATAATGGCATAGAATTAATTTCCCTCTCCCCAGTCCATATAAAAGTGGCATTTCACACATATATTATTTAAATTTTGTATGTAAATTAACATTACCTGCTGTCATCAGATTTGAGGAAGTTCTAGGAAAGAGAACTTCTATAAAAAGAACAGCTATAGATATTACACTGCACAAACCCATCCTAAGGAGAGCTTTAAGCCCTGTCTCGATGTTTAAAAAAACCCCAAAACAGCAAGCTCTTAAAAATCTCTACTTGAGCTCTCTTTATTCTGCACAGCACTGATTATATTTTCTCAGTCTCTAAGCTACTCTAGTTTGAGAGCTGGAGGAGAAGTGATTACCGCAGTGACTCCCAGGCCTCCCACCACGCTTGATGGTGTGACAAGGTAAAGGATGCCTGCGCCCACGATGGCTCCCAGGCACTGGGCAAGAACGTAGAAGACCGACTTGGCGAGGCTGATTTTCCTCGTGCAGACCATTGCCACGGTCACAGCAGGGTTAATGTGGCCTCCGCTGATGTGTCCAAAGCACTGCACCATGGTTGCAATGCTGAGTCCAAAGCAGAGGGAGATAAGGACCATGTCTACCGGCAGAGGCTTCTCTGCTCCACCCCAGTTGATTGTGGAGCCGAGGCTGAGGAGGACAAAAATGAGCATGGCCAAAAATTCTGCTGAAACAGCTTTCCAGAAGGGCTGAGTCCAGACTCCTTTAAACGCCACCATGATGCTCTCACAATTACACAGACGACCACACTTACTGAAAAGGAAAACAAAGCTTCATCAGAAGTCACCAAATAAGCCTTATGCTCTCCTGTTAGGGGGTTGCTATCTAGCAGACTTTGGGGAGAAGCTGGCAAAGATGAATATCTTTGGGATGGGACAACCACAGACTGCACTCTTGGAGCAGACTGCCCTTAAAGCATGAACAGTGTCTGAGCATCTGCAGGACATAGGGTGATTAATCACCCCTTGCAATAGGTCTGTCTGTATAGTTTCAGTTCACAAAAATCAATCTTTGTATCTTTTGAAATAAGTGAGTATGAAAATAAGAGAATCTATCTTCTACACTAGCTGACCTCTGCCTGACTTAGAGTCTGTACAGCCCTACCACTTCCAGTGGCCTGTTCACCATCATACCCATTAAACTGGAGGGTATCCTCTTTTTCTAAGCAAATCTGTACTTTTCACAAAGCAGGTATGATAGTTTAATAAAAAGCAGTATCTTAGTCCATCCCTAATGGTTTTGATAACAGTGTAGTGTTGGGTGGTTGCCCTGGGAGCTATAAGAGAAAGTCTATTTGTTTGAACTCTGACAAAAAAACAGTATGTCAATTTATGCAAAGAGCAGTTTCTTCACTGTGGACATAGGGTAAAAATTAAATTCAGCCAGGAGAATAGATGCTATCCTAAATTTTGACCTTTAATCACACAACCAATAAAGCATGAGGGTTTTTTTCGGTCTAAGGGTGCCAAGTAAGCTGTGGAATACAGAAAAAAATTGCTGTACGTGTGGTGTGTAGAACTCTGTGTGGCAAAGAAAGAAGTGTCTTGATTTTCCTCTCTGTCTGGAGATGCTATTTATTAGTCTGCACTGCCTTACTGATGAGTTAGAATTTTGCTAGATGTTCAGATACCTATGAAAGTGGGTCACCAAAGAAAAGTTATTTGTGGTATTAATAAATTAGGAGAATAAGCCAAAAGGGAAGCATTTTAATGAGTTTCTAAGGAACCTTAACAAGATTCTTCTCTAAAAACAAAAGTAAAAAAACCTCTAACTCCTCCAAAAAGTAGAAAACAAAAGAAGGAATATTCAGCTTCTACAACTGGGAACAGAATTTCAAGTGGAAGATGGATGAATTTATGCTCAATTATCTAAGGTGACTGAGCTACAATGCATAGTTAAAACCACTCAGATCAGAAAGAAGCATAAAAGGCACGTCTGCCCTTTTCAAGTTATTGCAAGAGGAATGGCCCATGAATTTCTTAACAGTTGCAGTAA